CATGATGTGGTTACATTTTATAAAAAGTAAATATTGTACATTTGGCTACTAATTGAATAATGATGACTTAAGAGAGAAACAGAGTAATTTAAACCTACAGGAAAATTTGTATTTTGAGGAACAGTGGTGCCATAATTACCACAAAAATTGACTGACCAACATTTGAATGTACCTCTGAAATTAGGGAATGCATCACAGGTTTTTAATTTCAAGTTCTTGCTGTTCCAGACTATATACAGTGTCACATATTTTCTCTTTGGAGATGAAGATGCATCCACAAAGAGCCATGGTGAAAGAAGCCATGATTTGCTCAGGTATTAATCGGAACAGACTGCCACAGTTGTGGGAATGCTGTATAAGAAGCTGATCTTAACTACAGTCCTGTCAAAGAGGAAACACTTATCTCTAATAAAATTAAAACACCATTTCTTCATAACTCCCCTTTTCTTACTCTATCATTCCTTTAAAATTTCTGTATACTAAATAGATGAAGCAGATCTACCCATTTTGGTTTTTGTGGTGAAGATTGTTGGAAGAATTAAAAAGAAAACCAGGCAAACCAGTAAGAACAGTTCGGAGTCCAATTACTTACACTGAACATCACACTAAACAGGATCCAAGATGCTGCAACACAATCCAGACCTGAGACAAATAAAGTTCAGAATACTATAGGTGTATCTTTTCTTTAAAAAATGGCACACAGTGATATCAGCTGCTATGATTTAAGAAGAGAGTATTCAACTGCAGGAACTGAGAACTGACAGATGCTAAGTCAAGATCGAGATCAGAATGGCACACTACAAAGAATTCTCAGAATTCGTTATACACTAGTTTGAAACAATTTTCCATACATAAGAAAAATATAGTTGAAAGTAGGAGGGAAGAAATATATTACATAGAATAACTGAAACTCCCATGTTTTTATTTACATTGCTATACCCTATAAATAATATTTTAGCTAATACATTTTTCCATCAACTGCTGCAAAAAGCATTATTGTATACATAACCTTAATCTTTACAATGACTGTATCCTCTCTACTTCAAGCTTTACATCATGATAAGTATGTATTGCCACTTGGAGTTTAGAAAGTAATCATGCTATAGACTATGTAGGCTGTTAGATATTAGGAAGTATTAGCAGAAGGAAATAGAAATGAAAACATGAAAAATGACTATTAGAGAGCATCCAGAGGACAACAAATATGATGAAAGGTCCAGAGACCTAGAGGTCTCATATGAGGAGAGACCAAGATACTTTGGTTTTCTCAGCCTAATCAAGAAGAGACTGTGGTGTTTACAACTTCCTCACAAGGGGAGTGAAGAGGCAGGTGCTCTTCAGTGACAGCAACAGGACCTGAGGGTGCCAAGAAAGCGGTCACGGCAGTGAACTTGCTGAAGTTCAAAACGCACTTAGAAACACTGTTTGAATTTTGGGTAGTCCTGTGTAGAGCCTGGAGTTGGACTTGATGATTCCTTTGGGTCCCTTCTAACTTAGAATATTCTATGACTCCAGCACTTAATCAGAGTGAGGTAATTTTACATTGATAAAAATACAACAAAACACAGTCTTCTCTTTAAAGTGATGAGCTCCTATCCAGTATTTCAGTTCATACAGAGATGTTATCTGCAGGTGTTTCAAGATGCTCATTAAGTATGCTTTTTGTCTGAGAAAGATAGCCAACTTTTTGTGATATCAGTAACCTCAGCATAGTCACTTCATCTCTCATTTAGTGATGAAGGTTACATAGAACCAGACGCATAATTCATTATAAATTCAATTTGCTGCTTTCTTGCTTGCCATAAATCATTAGAGGTGCCCTGATAAAGGACAAGAGAGAAGGTTGGATGTTATTTCAAGGCAAATTTGGACAGGACAGATGGAAATCTTTCACCCCCTTGAGAGGGCTGCAGTGCTGGCGATGATACTATGGAATATCCTTCCTCACAAATTTCAAGTTTGCAAGTCACTTGATCTAGCTTTCAAATCAGCCTTGGTGTGATCATGGATTAAGTTCAGGGACCTCCGGAGGTCCCTATACAAAACTTATTCATTCTAGAATCACATAATTAAAAGTCTGTTTAACATACTGTAGTCTTCACAAAACCTGCTCTCTTCAGGAAGGTTCATAAAACTCCTAGGGAGTGTCCTATCCTACCTGTCTCCAGGTCAACACTGGTATTAGCTGTTAGGAAAATGACAAATTCGTTAACTACAAAAATTAGTAAAAATCAAGTCTGGGTATATGTTTAAGAGCATCAAGCATAGATTAAAAAAAAATAATCACACGTAGATTTTATAGCTCTTTTTAAATTACATTACAAGGATTAAGGGGAACTAGAGTTGATAAAGGCACACCTACAAGACATCTACAGTAGATAAAGTCTTTTCTACTATAAATCAATACTTAAATTATGTTTATTACAGACATATCTCTAGAATTCAGCACTTATTAGAATTGCAACTTGTATTTTCTACTTTTTAAGTCAGGTATATCTGTTAGAAAATAATTTAAAATTTCCCTCTCAAAAAATGTCTCATTTTTTGAGTTGGCATCTGAGTTGGGCAAGCAAAAATTAAATTAATATAACTCAAGCCTCAGTTTGCACTTTAGTATCTACGCATCTGTTCTATAAATCCACTTAAAATTTTTGTTTGAAATTTTTCTGCATAAAAATTTAGAACTCTTACTGTATTCTCATTTGGAGAAGCTCTCCCCATTCATCATTGGATTTCTTAATTTATAATTAAAAATGACTTGTCTCCTGTATCCCCAAAGAAAGGCATACTAGCCAGAGCAAAATACTTCTACTAATAGGAACATAGGAATCAATGAAATTGTCTGCAAATATTGCAATGCTTCTCTTTATCGTTCTTTCTTTTTTATTTTTTTAATTTTACATTTTTAAAACCATGAAAACATTCTAAGACCAATCATACAACTATTACTCCTTTAGAATAACACCCTTAGCAAGGACCTCAAAGAGTCACAGTCTGTGCCAAGAGTGACCATAATAAATACACAGTTTCTAGCACTGGTATATAGTCACTTGGACACCAGTAACCTTGAACAGTAGCAAGGAACTGAAGGAACAGATAATTCTACAAGTGCCATATAGAGTCCTCCACAATAGGCATCTTGGGTTAAAGAACAGCCTTTCATCTGCATTCTCACTGAGTAAAGGTGAAAGAGTTAAGAAGATTTACACTGTTTCATGTTGTCTTAAAAATTAGATTTAAAAGGCCAATTAATTTAGGGGTATGAATATTGGTACAACATACTCCAAAAGATATAATGTATTGGAAAAATATCACACTAAACAAAATTTTTATATAAGGTAAAATAAATGGTGTTTGTGTTCATCAGATTCTGAATGTAAGTTTGTGAACTTACACAGTGCTTCCATAACCAGAAAAAAAAAAAAAAAAAAAAAAAAAAAAAAAAAAAAAAAAAAAAAAAAGAGTATGGTCTAATCAATCTGAAAAATTACAATATTTTTTCAAAATATGAGGTCAATAGGCAATTTTTAGACATGTTGTAACAGTAATCATTTCCCTCCTCCCTGCCACAATACAGAGATGTAAAAAAACAGTCCAGCTGCAGAAAGGAAAGTGTGGTAATTTCTCAAGTATATAAATTATAAAGTTCTAATTTTACCCAGAAAATAAAAACCACATTTATTTTACAGGTAACTGTCAAACTTGCAGTCAAGCAAAGAAAAAACAAAAGAAAGAAAAATCAACACTGAGAACAGAGAATCAATTGCATGTCTGGACCATTTTTTTCTTTCCCACAGAATTTCTATGAAATCATATAATATAACATCGTAATGAGGACAACAAGATATAAATGAAGATGAAGCAGATGTGCCTCTATTTTTAATTCAGCTAAGTTGCTGAGTCTGGTAAAACTTGAGAATTTCTTCATGGTTTAACATAAGATTTTTAAAATCTACTAAGAATGTACCAGGTATTGTAATCTAGTTTTGGGTTTACATAGTTCATCCAGTAGTCTGGCCTAGAAAAAGGTAGGTAAAAGTTGTCAAAAAATGTGTAAATTCTGCATGGAAATATTATGGCAAAAAGGGAAATTTCTGTTTCGAGGAAAGTTCTGTGAAATTGCAGAACTTCACTAAGATCTAACAGTCTCCCATTTGCCAATTCGAAACATCTTACAGTCCATAAAATTCAATTCTGCATGTCATAAATTTAATACTTCAGTTTATGATAAATGATATCGAAGCAGGGCTTTGATAATATTCAAAACATAATTATTATATTTTGCAAATGTTATTGCTTCTTGACATTACTAACACTAGCTCTTGCAGCTAGTCACTTTGGGGTAATTGTGTAATAAAGACCAGTTGCAGTTTGATTAGTCAGAAATAAACATTTTTTTCTGAAGTAGAAAAAATATCAAGTAACAGATGTATTTTTTTTCGCTGTTTGCTAATATCACAGTACATTTATTTTTTTATAATCCAAAATTTCTAGTATACAACAAATATTGTGGGATTTTTTCCTTTTATTTATGTTTTAATAGGTATGATGGAAATTCCTTAAGAAGTGTGATGGTTTTGCTTTGCCAATATTTAAATCTAACTTCTCTGTTTGAAGAATGGCATAAATTTAAAAATTCAAATTCAAATAGCAAAAACACTGTGAACACATGGATGTTTTCATATAAATAAATTTGTAAAATCAGAATTAAAATAAATCAATTTCAAAACTGACAAATACTTTCACAAACTGCTTCTGGTTATTGACAACTTTGATCACAGTCCAATAAAAATTCATGAAAGTAATCAGAAATATTATATTTCTTCAGGATAACACAAAATACAGAAAGAAAGCTATCATCAGAACTACAGAAAAGTAGGTAGAAATTTTGCTTATGTATCAATCAATCCAAGATGTCACATGCTGAAGTAACTACAGGAACTCTATTAATCTGTATCAGATAAGAACAGGGTTTCCTGTTGTCCTTATGTCCATATTACCTTATGAGGTCAATTGGCTGAAACTTGTAAAATACTCCATATCTTGCCCATTCTCGATACAGCAACTAAATAATAAAATAAAAACAGAACAAACAAAAAATGAAATTGAGATAACTGTTCTTGTTAGTTTTTATAGACATTGTCAAAAAGTTAAATAAATGGAGCAAAAACAAACAAACAAACAAACAAAAACAAACCACCAAAACCCACACAGTTTTCTGAAATTCAGTACAAACTTTCACATACTCTTTTTAACAGCTGTAGAAGATTTCAATCATGCCATGAATTCAAGTTTGGGGTAAACAAGCCTTTTCTCCGTATGCCTACTTCCTCCACATCATATTTATTAGACTGTAATGTTAGAAACAAGTGTTTAAAGAGAAGGGAAAAAATTCCATAGCCTCATGAAAGTCTTTGGAAAGAAACAATTATACTCCTACACTAAAATTCTTCTTTAATATAATTTATTTAATGCCTGGAATTATACCACAAGTAAGTACTGTACAGTGTTTTCAGCTAAAAGGTGAAGTGAGCCAAGAAGAGTTCAAAACTGGTTAGCTGATAAGATATACCAAGACGTAAGAAACGTGGCAAGACTTTTCTGCAACTATTGAGACCACTGTGTCCAGTGGACACTATTTATATCTCCTTCTCTCCTTATGCAGCCTTGGTCTTCTCTCCAGCCAAACCCCAAGGCTGAATTCTCATATTTCTCACGTCCCTGAAATTTGTACCCCTGAACCTCTAGCTGGTAGCTGAGGGAGTAAATCCTCCTCTGCTGTAAGGGCAGAGCAAGTATGAGATGGACTCATGAGACTGAATGAGACAAGTCTATGGGGCTGGATGGCATGCATCCCAGGGTCCTAAAACAGCTAGCTGATGTAGTTGCTGAGCTGCTCTCCACCATATTTGAAAAGTCTTGGCTGTTGGGCAAAGTCCCTAGGGACTGGAACAATGGAAACATCACTTCCATTAACAAGAAAGGGAGGAAGAAGGATCCGGGAAACTACAGGTCAGTGAGCCTCACCTCCGTGCCTGGGAAAACTGTGGAACAGATACTCCTAGAAGGCATGTTAAAGTACATAGGGATAAGCAGGTGAACCGAGAGCCAGAATGGCATTCTCAAGTAAGTTCATGCCTGACCAGTCTGGTGGCCTTCTATGATGCAGTGACAACACTGCTGGACAAAGGGAAGGTAACCAGATTACCTGGACTTGTGCAAGGCCTTTGACATGGTTCCCTACCACACCCTTATCTCTAAATCGAAGATATATGGATTTGGGGATGGACTATTTGGTGGATAAGGAATTGGTTGAAAGGATGTAGACAGAGGGTTGTGGTGAATGGCACTATATCCAGGTGGAGACCGGTAGCAAGCAGTGTACCCCAAAGATCTGTCTTGGGATCGGTGCTCATCAGTGTCTTCATCAATGGCATTGATGACAGGCTTGAGGGCATCCTCAGCAATTTTGCTGATGACGGTGCAGTTTACAGGTCAGAAGGACGCAAACCAGAGGGATACTGACAAACATAAAAGGGGGCCTGTGTGAATCTAATGAGGTTCAACATTGCAAAGAGTATTGCACTTGGGTCAGAGTAATCACAGATATGTGCACAGACTGGAAGAACTTGTGAGTAGCCCTGCAGAGAAGATTCTGGGGGTTCTGGTGGATGAAAAGCTTAACACAAGCCAGCAGTGTGGTCTTGCAGCTCAGAAGGACAATGGTATCCTAGGCTCCATCAGAAGAGGGGTGGCCAGCAGGGACAAGCAGGTGATTGACTCTCTCTACTCTGCACTCATAAAGCACTATCTGGTGTACTTTATGAAATAAAAAATAAAAATAAAAAAAATAATAATAAAAAAATCTCGGTTTGGGACCTGAATACAGGAAAGATATGAAACTCTTGGGATGGGTCCAGAGGAGGGCCACTAAGATGATGAGAGGTCTGGAACACCTCCCCTGCAAAGGCAGGCTGAGGGAGCTGGGCTTGTTCATCCTGGAAAAGAGAAGGCTGAAAGAAGACCTCATTGCAGCCTGCCAGTATTTAAAAGGAGAGGGGAATCAACTTTTTACTTGGGTAGACAGTGATAAGACAAGGGGGAATGGTTTTAAGCTCAAGGAGAGAAGGTTCAGATTGGATGTCAGGGTGAAGCTCTGAGAGAGTGGCGAGGTGGAATGAACTGCCCAGAGAGGTTGTGGATGCTCCATCCCTGAAGGATGATAAGACTAGGTTGGATTGGGCACTGGGCAATCTGGTCTAGTACCAGATCTGGTGGCCCTGCCTGCGGCAGGTGGCTTGGATGATCTTTGGGGTCCAATCCAACCAAAGCCATTCTATGATTCTATGATTCTATGAAAAGGCAGTGCAGATCCTCCAGAAAAGTCCTACAAAAGGAGGAACAAAACTTCTATCCTCTGACTGCTCAGTCAGGTATAAGAGGAAACATTTCAGAACTCCATATCAACCCCAATACACTCAGCTACCATAGGCAAGGGACTTGTGATAATCTTCTTTGTTTTCTGCTTTGTTTCTGTTATCTACATGTTACAAGCTTGTTGGATTTTAAAAAGAAACCTGTGTCAGTCCTTTAGAAAGACTTCCTGGAAAGGAAATCAGTAGTTATGGTATGAAAGGCATCACATTGTTCTGAAACCAGTGACAGCTGCTGGTTAGAAATCACTACCTGATTAATAATTTGGCAAAAGAGTTAATGTGATAGTAGTGAGTTTTATAACAGTGTACATACTTACTAATAATTCAGAATGGGCTTTCAACAGGCTTTTCAGAAATAGGTGAAGACCAGAGGAAGCTTATAGGAAGCATCAGAGGATTTAACAAATTTAGATGGCTATTCATCATGTTTTAACTTCAAAACAACAACAATAACAAAACACAACAAAAAAGAAAACCACAAGACTTTCTATGGAAACACCTGATTTCTTTATATTGCTTTCACATTTTTATGCTGCAGGAGGACTATAGACAGTCTAAGAAAATACACTCATTGAAAATTATTTCTTGAAGTACAGACTAATTAAAAAAAATAATAAATGAAAGCGAGGATATGTTGATAAATGAAAGTAAATGAATCCCATCATTATTTATAGATTGTGAATGCAGAATATGGTTTTATCCAAAAAGACATGTCAAGCCTTTTGTCCGTAATTTCAAAAACAAAACAGAGAGTGAAGAAAAAAAGAGTAACACATAAGAGGTGAGGTCAGCTCCTTAAAAATAAGGCACTACATCATTACTAGTACAGAGAGCAAACTACATCTTAAGAATGTTTCTGTGTGGAATTTCTGGGTCTCGCAAGAGACTACCTGTTCCCTTTCTGTAATCACTGTCTGCGGCTTGCTGGTCTCACAGAAACTGTAACAAGTATGGAACAATGTAACTGCAGAGTCAATACCTTGAAGATCTCTACTATTCTGTCAGATTTGGCTAGGACTGGGCAGTAAGTTTAAAAATAGCAGGAGAGGAAGACAAAGCAAGAAACACATGCACACAAAGCAGAACAAAGAAAACAGAGTACATTCTGCAGATAAATTAAATATTTATACTATTGATTTCTTTAACAGAAACAAAGAAAACTACAAAAATCCTAAAAAAAAAAAAAAAAATAGTAAGATAAGATATAGAATTTTTTATCTAACTATTTTATGAGGTTTCCCATTCTTACTTTTCTAATGTTTAAAATGCCTCTTCTCCTGCAAATGCTGTGTGAAAGGATTAGGTAAATATCAATGGAGCAATTAAGATTTAAATCTCACAGACACCTGTCCACCTGATCATTGTTGTTCAGAATAAGGAAACTGGTTGCAGCCACTTAAGGAAATGGAGCTATGCCAATGTGTTACTGTTAATGATTCAGTTCAGAATACTTTCTGGTCTTAGATAAGGGAGTAAATCCCACCCTGTTGCAGAAATTGAAAATTCTGCAATGAGATTCAAAGAGTGTAGAATCTTATCTTATAGAACATCGCTGTTACAGAGCACAGCCTTGAAAAATGCTTTGCATTTGTATGAAGAAATAGTGAAACTAGGCTCAATTTTCTTCAGCTTCAGCGGTAGCTGAAGAAGATTGCCCTGGATGCCACATTGATATTTTCATATGAATTCTTGTGGTTACCTCCTTAAAATCACCCCTTGCCTATAATCTGGTTTAGTTTCATAAATGACCCTACTGGTAAGTGCATTCACTGAAACAAGAATGTTAAAACTATTAAATTATTAGGACTACTTGAAAGCTAGAGAATTGAAAGTGAAGAGCAGAAAGACAGGTCTTCTAAAATTTCAATCATTTTAGGAACAGTTTGCTGCGGCATTTTATCAGACAGCAGAATCACACTGGTTATGTCAATTCCAAAAGACATAACACTGAATGTGACTTTATGGTATGGATATTTTCCACTCATGTGTTGCATACACTAACCCTTAGACTTAGCAATACAATTTTATAAGATTAAGATTAATATGGAGAAAGGAATGGGCTTCCTTTCCTGATTTTTACTAAATTGAAATGAATTCTAAAAAGAGTTTCCTAATATAGTTTGTTGTATTTTATTAATTTCACTTAAATCAGAACTCTATGTAGATTAATGATAACATTTTTTCAATCTGCTTCTAATAATCTAGGGATGCTGTAATAATATATGCTATAATTTTTTTTATTTTTATTTTTTCTACAGCAGAAATCACACTGAAACAGAGAAATATCTTTACTATAGTCTTAGGAAAAGATTATTGCAGTGTTAGGAAAAGAGTGGGTTTCATTGACAGTTCGTTACTAATTCTAGTAGGATGTGACATAAGCAATCACATGAAAATAGAGCATTTTCTCCAAGGAAATGCTGAAGAGGGTTAAATAAGTATTAACCTTAATTACTGCTGACTTATTGGCTTACATATTCCAGGCAGGTTCTATTCATCATTCTTTGGGTTTATACTACAGACTAGTGAAACAGAAGATGCAGACAAGTTAAAATGGCAAAACAGAGTAACAAAACACAAAAGTGCCCCACTTTCCTTTAAATCTGATAAAGGCCTTTCAGGAAATTAAACATTGAGACTATTAGATTCAGATAGAAAACAGATGATGTTATGCATAGAAATACTACAGCAGATTCAACGTCTAGCCAGCAGAAACGTGAATAATTAATGAATTATTTCTGAAAAGACCCTTTTATATTTTTAATACTTAATACTTCATAGCTGAGTCAACTGGACAGGATAAAATGAAGGCAACACAAAATATAAGTAGTAGGGTGAATACTTTTCTAGGTATTAGTGCTTTTAGGCCCTCTTTCCCCTTCTTTCATATTACCCTGTCTTCCTACACTGACTACTGATCGCTTACTTTCCTTCTCTCTAAAAAAGTGTACTAATCTTAGAAGTAAACTACACTTCTGACTTTCAGAGTCCCTCAATGTATTACCATTAACACTTTTTCTCCTGGTTTTATCAGTATTCCATATCATGACACCATGCAGCAAGCTGCTAAGAACCATGCTGGAACATGGTGCCAGGAAGCTTCATTTTCTGGCTCTTAGCTACTGATAGTGTCAGTTATTCTTAATGAGATCTGGCTTTCCAAGAGGAAGATACACTGAGAAGAGACAGACTACAGTTCCTAGGAGTCTACAGTACTTCCTACATGATCTCCAGTTCCAGGTGATAGAGGTGAACTAGACTCTTCTTCACATCTGGGCAGTGTGGTCACAGTATGGTCGAAACACCTTTATCTCCCATTTGTTTGATTTGTTTGTTTGTTTGATTTACCTGTAACTCTTTTTTTATATTATTATCTTATATCCTGTTACCATTTGTAGTAAATTCATATTTCTCCCTATCTTAGTTGGGTAATTTTTGTTTTTCTTCTCACCAAAAAAGGGATGGGAGAGTGAAAGGGGCCAGGGAAGTCTTTTCCCCCTTCTTCTCCCCTCCTGTCGTGCATGAAATTACTACACTTACTCAGAGACAATTTCTTCACAAACAGAAGGTTCAAAATTATAGACATAAGTACACAAGCTTCTGCATAGTTAGCTTTCCAATTTTGTCTGACTAATAAATGGAATTTTATATGTCTCATGAAGACATTTTGTGGCTGACATTAACACTATTTAACAAAAGCAATAAAGATTATGTTTTCAGATTTTTACCTACCTGTTATTGGAGAAATCAAATTTACCTGTATGATCTATGAACTCATTCTTAATATCAAGAGTTCAAATTATCATAATTTGTGGCAATTACACCCAGAAACTACACTGAGTATTCAGTTCTTTCTTCATTTCCCCACAGTTTTCCCTCCTTACTTACATTCTTATTGTTTGAATATCAAGGAAAAAAATACAAACAGTAAAGAATGGAATGTCTCTTATTGGATTCCATTAATTAAATGTTTTTACACATTCCTAATAGTAAGTATATGTTTTAAATATAGTCTGAAGAGATCACACATCCATTTCTCTTGTGCAGATGGTAGGTGATATATTTTCAAGTCATTTGACAGCTAGAGCCATTTTCTTTACAAAGTAACTGAAAGTAGACTTTTTAAATTGTATATAATTTAAGTAAATGAATAATAAAATGAATAATACAATCATGTTTTAATTTCATAATTATTTATCTATAGCATCATTTGGTTATGGAAGGAGAATAATCATGTAAATTCTTGAACTACTTTTGCGTTTCAATAGATTGAAAAATATTCTCTGTGCATGTGGAGCAAACCTTGAAGTTCAAGATATTTACATAAAGTTAAATTCACTGAAACACTTAATGAAATGTAATAGAAATTCTTACAAACAAATTTTAGTGTGCAAAAGGACAGAAAAATAAACAATGTAATAAGTGTTAAATGCACTGAAAAAGCATTTGTTTGACTAAATGTTGGTTGCTATCTTATGACAACATTTCGGACATTAATTAATATAGTAAATTAAACCTAACATTACACTAATTCACTAATTTTGTAATGTACTGTACCTTTCTTTCATTCATATCATCATTTTGGTATTCATATTCGCCCTAGGAAAAGAAAATGTAAAGTAAAAACAGTATATTCAATAATAGATTGCTCAGCTGCTAGTACAGTGTAGATTTTACTTTTAAGTCACAGTCTGAACCATATTTTACAAAGGTTTTAATGCTAGAACTGCACACTAAAGAAATAGAATATATTTTCATTGTCACAGGAAATAATCTTTAAAGTCTATGTACGTAGGTCACTCCAAAAGTAATGCCTCCTATTTATTTCCATGGAAACTACAAAATATACAAAGAGCGCAATAACATCATTTGATAGAGCAAATTATCAGCTGCAAAACACTGCTTTTAAATATAGTCACCACAACTAGCTATGCTTTTTTTCCAGCAGTGAACAAGAGCCTGAATACCACATTTATAATAATCGGCATGGCCATCTGTAATGTGGCTTGTCTTTCATCTTATTGTCACTGCTGAAACACACCACCCACCTTCTCACTGTGCTAACATCTACTACTTTATCTCCATTAAATGCTTAGCTGGTGTCAATGAATGCCAATGGGTGCAATTTTTTCTATATGGAGGAATTCAGTTCCATTTCATTGCTTCTTATATACTTCCATGTTAGATATCATTTTGTCAGATTGGCCCTCTTCTGCCTACTGCCATAAGGCAAAAAAATTTAATGGAATATTGGAAGCAGTGTTCAATCTCTATTGCCATACCACTAACATCTGCCTCTGATGCAGTGGGCCAACATAATAAAACAGGAGGCATTGATTTTGGAACATCCTTAATGCTATTGAGTGATATCATGAGAGAACTAAATTTTTAATGGGATATACATACATCATGAAGTGGGTATGCAGCTTCATAAACGTTGTTTGCTATTAATGTGCTAATACCTAAAATAAATAAATAAATAAAGCAGAGAAGATTATTGATTTCATTTGATGACATCACATAAAAGACTGAGACATTTTACTGAAAATGATCAAAATCATGTAGATAAGTATCTACTAACACAGAAGTATAGAAGTATCCAGCTATGGTAAATATTTTCATAGAAAAGTTCATTTCTATATGTGCTTTTTCTTGAGTGAACTAGTATGATATAAAAACAGTTTTGATTACTTTATCATCCTGATATAAAAGAAGTATGTGACTGAGAAGGAGAATATCTGGGAAGCCCTTTCAGAAGCCAGATAATGATCAGAATCGTGGATCCCTACTGATACACAAACACATAAAAAATACATTTACAAAAGTTTGTGAGTAAGAAACTCCTGCTCTCCATTGACTAACATTACACTGTGTTTATTTTTTGTGGAACCAAATACTAGTGTTTCTGTCCTTCCTCTTATAAATAAGATCATCCTTCTGAGTTTGAAACAACTCATCTTTGCAGGAGTTATATCAATCAATTCTCATCTAATCCATGGTTATGGTGGAAAGCTGCATGTTTCACGGCAAGAAGTGCTGACTTCTAAAGATTGCAATAAAGAAGTCTGATAAAAAAAAAAACAGCAAGATTTAAGGACACAGCAGTATCACAGAGAACCCTTATTAATAAGGGTTTCAGCAAATGCATTCCTACCTAATGATTACATCATCCAAAGACCACTACAGGCTCTCAAGAGTTAGAACTTTTACAGTTATTCTGTTTCCAGTATTTGGAAGTGAACACAATTCCTCCATAAAATGTCAGTTAAGATTAGCAGTTTATTTCAGACCTATATGCTTCAGTGTCCAACAGAAAGTAATCAGAACATTTGTCCTTAGGAGAAAACAAATGGTAGTCAAATTATACAACATTCTGAAATATTTTGGCAAAACCCTTGGCAGACACCCTAGATGGGCATTAGCAATACATTTCTCCCTTGGCACATGCAAAATATCCTTATCCCTACATGCACTAAGATAGAAAGGAAATATTAATGTTTGGATCATATCAATTCCTCTATTGAAAGCATTCTGCTTTTGGAAAGCTGGTAGCAGTTCATAGTTATGCTAGAAACAAATATATGTATAGTGTATAACATCGTAGAAATAGAATCAAAATCAGCCCTACACAGCTGCAAAAATCAACAAGCAAATGTATTTGAAGTGTCATTTTCCTCCCACCACATGATGATTCATGAAAACCAAATATTGTTCAAACACTTCCAATATCATCATCCTACTTCCTATGCAAAATAAGTAACAAAATCCTAGGAAAACAGAATAAAGCCCTGCCTTAGGTCCCAGCAAGGGGAAGAAAGTAAGCAGGCTTCCAAACTGACAGAGGGAAAACTTGTGCAGGAAGAGAGGGTCTGGACCCTTGGCCCTACTCAGGGCAGAAGGAGAAGCCTCCCTGTGCCCCTGAAGTCTCCCTAACCAACAGACATGAAGCTCTGGAGATGGAAAGAGAAGAGGGTATGGACAGTGGTTCAGAACCACAAAAAGGGCCACTATGATAGCTCCCCATAAGGGTCTCCCAAAAACAGATGTTTAATGATTTAATTTCGGCTGGAGTCCAATTTGCTAAGATTGACCCCCAGCCCAACCATGTCCTTCTCCAGCTTTGGAGACAAGTAAAGGACAATCAAAAATTTCAGAGCTGCCCTAAGAAACCAAGGGTAAGGGTTATAGAGAGAATACCAACGACAACATGGAACCTAAAAGATTTCATAGTTCCTAATTAAAAAAAAAAAAAAAAAAAGCCACCTCAGATGTCTCAGGCCACAATGCCTGAGCCATTGGAAGCAAAACAATTGGGCATAGCACAATTCATGGTGTGATGAGAGATGTTAGTCCCCCTAGGGCCTCCAAATGGGACTGGAGGCCCTATGTAGAATTGAAGTTTATTGGTCCCGAAAAAATATTCATAGAGTTATGGCATTAGTGGACACTGGAGCAGAAACATCAATTATCTACAGAGATCCAAACAAATCTGATGGAGACAGAGTGATGATTGGTGGTTTTGGGGGACAGACTGTTCCTGTCACCCAAACGTGGTTAAAATTGGGGGTTGGCGTCTTGCACCTCAGGAGTATAAGGTGTCTATTGCCCCAGTTCAGGAATACATTCTGGGCATAGATATTCTATGGGGTCTTGCTCTCCAAACAACTGTGGGAGACTTCAGACTTCAGCAGAGATGTATTAGTATCCAGGTAGTGAAGGCAATATTAAGAGGCCAAGCGAAACATGGGCTTATTTGCCTGCCGAAACCGTGCCAGATTACTAAAGTAAGGCAGTATAGAATCCTGGGTGGGCAAGATGAAATATCGAGAACGGTGCAGGAAATAGAAAAGGTGGGCATTATAAGACCTGCACACAGCCCATATAACTTCCTCATACGGCCAGTGCGAAAGTCGGATGGCACGTGGAGAATGACAGTGGATTACAGGGAATTAAATAAGGTCACACCACCTATTCATGCAGCCATACCCAATATTTCTTCCCTAATGGACACATCAAGTAGGGACATAAAAACCTACTTGCAGTTAAAAAATCTTGATGAAGGGGTTGTTCAGAGCAGCCAAGGGGCAGAACTGCAAGCCGTGTGGATGGTTATAACCAAGGAACCTGGTGATGATCCTGAATATCTGTACAGATAGTTGGGCTGCGTACCAGGGGCTCACTATATGGATTACACAGTGGGCCACCCAGGAATAGACTATCCATGCCCGACCAATCTGAGGCAAGGATATGCGGTTAGACTTGTGGAATACAGTCAGACACAGGACTATGTGTCTACCATGTTTCTGGTCATCAACCCCTACAGTCACCAGGAAACAATGAAGCTGACACGCTGGTGCGAATTCAATGGATTGAGAATTCACCATCTGAGAGCTTTGCCCACTGGTTACATCAGAAGCTATGGCATGCAGGGCAGAAGACAATGTGGGCAGCTGCTAAAGCATGGGGACTGCCCATACAGCTACCGGACATCATCCAGGCATGCTGGGATTGCACGGTTGCTCTAAGATGAGACCGAGATCATTGCCTGAAACAACAGCCCATCTTGCTAGAGGACACAACCCTCTCCAGCAGGTTGATTACACTGAGCCCATTCCTCAGTCTGAGGGAGTGAGATACGCCCTGACCTGCGTTAACACTGCCAGTGGGCTACTGCAGGCCTATCCAGTACTGAAAGCAAACCAGGCATATACCATCAAGGTACTCACTAAACTGATGTCTGCCTACAAGACACCAAGTCATCCAGAGCAACCAAGGGGCTCATTTTCCTGGTGCAACTAAAGCCATACAGTGCTGGGCAGAAGAAAATAACATTGAATGGTGATTCTACCTGCCACATAATCCAACGGGGGCAGGCCTCATTGAATGTTATAACGGTATTCTTAAGGCTGCCCTGAAGACAGACTCCCAGTCCCTGCAGGGATGTATTAAAAGACTGTATGAAACCTTGCAGGACCTGAATGAAAGACCCTGAGATGGCAGACCCAGTACCCTGAGAATGTTGCAGACAACATGGGTCTTAGGATCCAAATTATGGGCACTGATCATCAGGTAAGACCCCAGATTGGTAATGGAAATAATATTCTGCTCCCTGACCCTGAGAATTTAGATCCAGATACCCATAGAGTAAAGACCTTGGAAGGTGAAGGTAGGACCCAAGTGGTGTGGCCTATTTGCGCCTTGGGGGAGATTATTGGAGGCTGAAGGCTCAGTATTACATAGGTACATAGGTCTACTGATATTGTGGTCAACAGTCCAATCTTCATCGCTAAAGGGACCTCCATCATGTCCCTATGGCAGATCAGGACACCCCTTTTGGTGCCTGATACATTTATGCAGCCTCAGACATCCGTCCAGAAGGTGTGGTACAGGCAGCCAGGACATGCCCCAGTACAAGCTGAAGTGTTAACCCAAGATAGAAATACGGCCTGTATCTTGCCCTGGAGACCAGACCTTCCCCTCCTGGTACCTCTGAAACATCTGTATTAATCCCCATGAGTCTTTGAGCCTTCAGGATCACTGGAAGTAACAAAATGCCAACAGAGCGTTCCAGTGCTACTGTCATGTGCAACACCCAGTGATGGTCTGGAATATAGGATGGACCTGCACCTCACGACTGCACGCCTCCAGTAACATCACTGAGCACTGGCCCATAAAAGAATATGAATGTTCACCAATCATCACTCATCTTGAATCTTACCAACACGCATCAAGATGGAAACTGTGTAAGTGTTGCAATATAACGGATCTCTGTATTAGGAAAAGCTTAGCCTTTAGTCAACCTGATCATCGGTTCACGGCATGAAGGGGTGGAGTGCATGGGAACTGCTGAATTACAGCCTGAACCTCTGATTAATCACCTGAGGCAAGCAATGAGTTAGCCACAGGAGCACAGGTGAAGACAATTCACCTTTGCTGCCAGAAGGGTTGGATCCTGGCTCCACCTCTCCCAGACCCATTTAAGAGCTGACTACCAATGGGAAAGAATCTCTTTTGGAGATCCCTCCTCAGAGTTTTATAGTGAGCCCAGGACACAGGTAAGCATTCTGTCTATTATTTGTTATTATAACCAGCTTAGCCAAACTCTTTGATTTATTTCATATTTATAACATCTTTATATTCATTGATTATACACATTGTGACAAGAACTACTGATTCCATATTGTAGTTGAAATTAACATGTTCAGTCACTGTTCATGCTGTTATGTCATGGCTGAATTATCAGATCTTTTTAATTACTTTGTGACAAGAACTACTGGTTCAATATTGTAATTGAAGTATGTGAATGTGTGAATCACTGTTCATGCTGAAGGGGTGGAGTGTAGGGGAACTGTTACATCATGACACATACTGATGATTGAATACCTGCTGAAGGGGGTGGCTAGCCTGGAAGGATCAGCTGCATGCAGTTTACTTGCCCTTTCCCTGTAACTGTAAGGGGTGGATCCAGGGTCCTGGGCTTATTTAAGGGTTAGCCTCTGAAGGAAGAATGTCTTTTGACAAATGTCACTTCCTGAGAAGGAGAGTCTTCAGTCAGAGAATCTCATCACCAGCTGAATTGGTCATCTTTGTATAAATTATTATTGGTTTCCCAATGATACTTTGGTATCATGAAGAACTTCTAGAATCAGTTTTGCTGCTTCCTAGGACCACTACTACCACTATTAACTAGTAATAGCTAGTAACTAGGATGACTAGGAACACTACTAATGCCCTCCCTAAGCTGGGCCACAAAGATAATAGACTTCCCTGTGAGTAAACCTGACAGCACAATGAGCCCTCTGTTCCTCTCAGAAGGGAGTCTCTTATGACAAGTACCCTGCTTTTATTCTTGGCAAAGGCAGTCTTAAGATACTGATGTATAAAACCCTCTGGAAGGACATTCTTCAGCATCCTCATTTACCTGTTTTTTTACAAATATTCATTGAGATACTTAAGCAATTCCTTTTAAAAGGACATTCATGGTTATCTTCCCTTCTTACCCATGCTGTTTCTGGTCTTTGTAGAAGTGCGCTTCAAAATCTCATATACCTATGAAAAAGAATAATAGTGATATAACTTAAAAATTGTCTTTTAAAATTATCTTCCTCACAGAGGAGGCAATAAAATGAAACTTCAGGAATTAGTAACTTCTGTTGCAGTTACTAGTTAAAACCTAACAGTGATATAACAATTCATACCATTTGATTTTCTGACAGTAATGTAGAGGCTGTGTTCTGCTGTGTCACAGTCTTATAAAACCATTAGAAGTGTAAGGAGTTCAGGTATAATGAGCGTTTTAAACTACAGAAAAATCACAAGATAGTCCAACTTTAAGAAAAAAAAAAAAAGTCAGATTTGGAGGTATAACATTAAGCTACATATAGAAGTAATCAGGATATGTACTGTTATACACTGTATATACACTGTATCTATGAAGCCAAAGTGTATATGGAAAACATAGTATGCTGGAGAGGAGTTGCATAGCATCCATAAAGAGAAATCCTGCCTTGATATCCCTCTGGAGACTAAACAGAACATCAGGAACATGATAAAAGGTTTCTCATCAAAGACTACCAAAGCAAGTAAATTACTATAGGACTGTAGAGGAGACACTTTCATGGAAGAGGATCTGACTAAACAGCAATAAGTAAGACTTAATGACAACTTTTAACAATAGTCTCGAGTCAGCAGTACATCCTTCCACAGTATCTACTCTCACCAAACTATATGGACTACTGTGTAGCTTCAGCAGAGCATTTCTTACATATATACGCTTACACTCATATTACACTTAACTGCTTAGTGCTTTATAGGAAAAGAGAAATGAATAAAATGATGGTATTTCAAAGTAGTCAACACTATTAAATCTCATTCCATGCAAGAAGTTACTTTTGCTTACTTACTAGTCGACTGCGGGTAGCATTGTCAAAAAATGTGTCTTTATCTCTGATGTTATACCTGAAAAATGTTAAGAGAAAAAAAAAAAAACAATCAGGTATGTTTTCAGAAGTGAATGAAACAATATACAAGATTTTGATTTAGGATGAACTCACAAACCACAGCAAGTAAGATAAAGAAATGTTTTAAGGAAATGAAGATGAAACTGCACGATATATTGTGCCCCATCATTCAGAATTCTACTGGGACTGCAGTAACAGTGGGCACAAAAGGTACATAAATATTAACTAAAGTAAAATGCCTTTCTTTTAAGGAGAATGTTTGTTGTTTAGACAAACTGACATTTCAGTCTTTGTAAAATAGTCTCAACCCTATGCAATTATGTGACATTCTAACTTGCCTAATCTATATATATATGCTTATTATTCTTCTGCAGTCAATGTTTCACTTGCTTTAAAAATAACACTTCCACTGGAATCATCATTTGTTAAATTAGCCTTCCCAATTTATTCCCCTAGTTTACTTTTGGTGTATTTTGCATTAATAAAAGTTTTCAAAGAGGACACAATAAATGATATGTTTTATTTTTCACTTAATTTGTTTTTTCACACATAAGCCCAAGGAAAAACATGAGGGGAAAAAAAAAGGGGGGGGTGAGGGGGGTGAGATATATAACATCCAGATATATTATTCTGAGTGAAAGAGAAAGTGTCAAGAATTTCTTATCTTCATATTGCTAGCCAAACTTTAATTATGTAGTCACTCTGGATAAAAACAAACTCCTATTTATTTCCATGGAAGCTACAATAAATTTAAAAAAGCACAAAGACACTATTTGATAGAATTAATTCTTAAATACAAAATGCTATTTTTCAACATAGTCACTGCCATTAACTATGTATTTTTGCCAGCAATGAAGAAGAGCCTGCATGCAGCACTTGTAAAAAAATCTATTTGGCTGCCCTGAACGCGTTTTCTGTTTTATGTTGCTGCTGCCTCTGCTGAAACACACTACTCATCACCTCACTGTGCTGGCATATACTGTTTCATCTCCATAAATGTTCAGCAAGTGTCAATAGATTTAATTTTTTCCACAAGGAGGAATTCATTTTCACACTTCTGTTTCATACACACCTACACGACAGACAGTATTTTGTCAGACTGCACTGTCTGTCTTATGGCAACAAAATGTAATGGAATATTGTTGGGAAATTTCAACCTTTACTTCCATACCACTAATATCTGCTTCTGATTCTGTGGGCCAACATAATAATAATAATAATAGGAGGTATTACTCTTGGGAGAGGTCTCATACTACAATAAATCTTGCAAGAGGAAATATATTACCAAATTTCCATATAATCTTTCTTGTCTCAAAACAAGCAGTAATATTACTATCCTGTTAACCACAAATTTATTGCTATGTTTCTACAGTTCATTATAAGAACATAGTTAATTTATTTTTGCACTGCTTTAAGTGCCTTACCTAGCAGAAAGAAGAACATTGACAAAATTCTTTTCAACTTAGATTTCTCTTAATCCTCTGAAACTGATGTCAGTGTTAATGCGCATTTTCATAGAAATCCCAGAAATGGTGCAATCTTAACAAATTTCTGTTTTTTGATTGAAAATCTCTTATGTCATTTTTCCTAGTTTTATTCATTGCTCTTTACAGTTTAAGGTACTCACAAATACATTTTTTCTCTGGAAAATGGATAAGACAGGCTTTTCATCCTGGTATCTTCTTGTGGCACTTGGGGTTGCAGAGGTTCAGACAATTTGCACCATATTTCACTTAACTTTTTGATTATTCCCTCTTCTTTTTTGATTTCGTACATCTGAGTAAGTAAAATGTCTCATATGAACATGACTTCCAAAAAAAACCCCACCATATATAATAACCTACATATATAATTCTATATTTAAAATAAGCACCTTAACATAAATTCTAATGTAAGAGCAAGCACCTGAATTTGCCAAGGTTTCAGTTCCAGAGACATAAGCTTCTTGCAGAAGAAAACTGATAGCACAAGAAAAACCTTTACTAACTCTCCTCAGCTAGAAGCTGCAAGGGTATGATAGAAAGATAGAGCAATGATTTTGACTTTGTAACTGCAACTGGAAATAGAGAGGCAGACAAAGCAAGAAAGAATTTTAATCACTGTCAATGATACTACCAAGAATAAATGCTATTTTTGGATAATAATTGCTAGTTTTGTCTAATGGCTGTATAATAAACAAATATTAAGATGGTATAATTACAAAATACACAAGAGAGTTTGGCAAAGCAGATTATGATAACAAAAAGAGAACAGATAGAAAGCTTACCCCTATCCTGGGCTCATTTGCAAAACTCCAGCAGAGCAGATCTCAGAAGAGATCCCTCCCTACTGGTAGCTAGCTCTTCAATAGGTCTAGGAGGGGTGGAGCCAGGCAGCACAGGTGAATTGCCTTCACCTGTTCTTCTCTGGCTGACTCATTGCTTGCCTCAGATGATCAATCAGAGGTTCAGGCCGTGACTCAGCAGTTCTCATACATGGCACCCACATACACCTACCATTAAAAGTGAGGATGCCTGGCTTGTGGCTTTATGGCAATTCCTTAATTAAGCATCTTAAGTCTCCATAATGTTTAGATAGTCTGATCCTCTACCTTTAGCACATTCTCAAGTTTTTTCAAGGACTGCAGTTAGGATCCTTGGAAACTTAGACATTCTTTAACTTACAGTATTTTGGGGAATTTATTTTCTTGTTTGAGGTTGTTACGCATCTAATAATATTTGGTGCATCTAATTTGCTCCAGTGTGGTGAATTCTCATTCATCAAAAGTAACAGTTGTAACGGTTCAGTCCTGTACAGAAGTTACACATATAGCTGAATTTTCTCAGACAGCACCAGAATGTCATTTGTCCTGAAAGATGTTTTAAAATTGAATGTTTCAAAGTAGTTCTTTGCAACCAACTTATTATGTTTAAAGATGAATGCTTTCCACTGAAAATCCTTTATTTATGATTTTACTTGTTTGGATAAATAAAAATAACATCACAGAAAAAAATTTTGTGCTTTTAAAATAAAAGAAAGAAATGCTTTTCCTTTTGTTGTTAATGGCTGATTTTTTGTTTTTTCATTTTTTATTGCTAAATCTTTGAAATACAAGGTTTCAGTTTTTCAAAGCAGGTCTTTTCCCACTGACTGTCATCTCCTGACTGTCTTTGCAAAAATTTTAAGACAGTAACAGAATTTTCATGCCATGCTTGCTCTATTTAGCTGGTAATATTCAATTTCTGCAACTGAGAAAAAAACAAGTATAAAAGCAGAAAGGACAACTTATAGTAGCTGTCCAAAGCCTATTCATTTTCAGAGGCTGACTATAAGTAAACTGTTGAGGGAGACTGTGTTTAATCTTACTCTTACAATAAAGAATATGCAAGACTATCTTGGCCAAATCCCTAACAGTGACGGACAGTAGTACTCTAAGGTGTGGGCATCTTTTACTGGGTGAGAACAACTGTTAAATAAAAACCAAAACACTACAGACATGCCTTCACTATCATAACATACTGCACCTCACCTTTGAAGAAAGTTCCTTGGCAAAATTCTGAATAGCTATTGCCTTCTAAACTGCAAATCCCTCCTCAAAACTCTCCTCTGTTGTCACTCTACAAAACATGGTCTACCAGCGAGCTGCCTCTGGGGCCTTTGAAATCCGCTCAGAAATTCCCTTCTTAAATTCAACTCTGAAAACTAAATCATCACAAAATAGTAAAATGAAAGAATAAGTATTACATGTCATTTGGAGTGATTTAGAATAGTGTACCTCTAAGAGCTTCAAAACATTTGTGTTTCTGATCATTCTTCCTTCAGACATAAAACTAGTTTTTATAAAATGGAAGATATTTACCTTTTTAGTGGGCATTTTTATTTTAAGGAGTTCTGCTTCTCGGCTAAGTACTTGCCAAGTTGCATGAATACGAACAAAGTTCAGTCCTTGGCTTTTATTCTGAAATATGTGTGAAAATAACAAATTTCAATATTATCGAACAGAATACAGTAATCAGGTTTCAAGATGGCCTATCTAACTAAATCTTGCAACAAAGAGCAATCATAATGAATAACCAACTTCCATTACAACAAGGATTAAATGTGACTTTCTCTTTAAAAGCCAAACCATCTCATGCGTGGGTGTCCAACCATTTGGCTTGCTAGGTCCACCATGAAAGAAGAGGAGCTGTCTTTGACCACAGGTAAAATATATAACATAGTTAATGTATATAAGTAAAAATGTTTATTATGTATATTTTAATTAAAACATTAAAAAGTGAGCAATGCATAGAACTACTGAGACATCTGACATTTTTGTGAAACTAATGCATCAGTATTGTTGCAGTGGAAGTGACTGCAATTCTTATTGCTCATCAGAGATTTCTGATGAAATTTTTTTCTTCCTGTACATCCTTGAAAATAGTTGTTCACAAATGTATATACTGAAAAAAATTGTAATGATTGAATGAGTAAGGTGTAACTGTGAAGCGAGGGATTTTTTTCTCTGTTGACATAGGTATCTGGTAAAGTATGATAGAAGTATAATAGAGAGACAAAATAAAATTTTTTGAGTTGAATATCTAATTGCAACTCTATACGTTCACTTTGAAAATTTACAGGCAATATATGTCAACTGAGAGAGGAGTTGCAAATATACAGAAAAAATTATTATTTTGGCAATCTTGAAACCTGTTGTCAAAACCATTCATCAAAACAGAAAGCGAGCCATTTTTTTTGCTGTTCACAAGACTGTGTTTAATCAATATATCAAAATACATAAAAACTATTTGTCATAATTTGAGTTAACACTGCACATTCTGTGTCCTGGTTTCTCTCCAGTCACTGCTGGTTGCACACCAATGGTTTAGTTGTTGCTGAGGGACAGGTGCATGCTCAGGGTGTACTCAGGATATGCCAGGCTTCTTGGTAGGGAAGAGGCACTGCCATGACAGGGGGTTGGCCACAGTACAAGGTGTCCCATGGGCTGCAGGTTGGGCGTGTCTGATCTTTGGCTCTAAAAGCCAAATCTTCTAGTGCCCTGAAAGACATAAAACTGCCTGCCTACTCTGCAACTGTATGTGCACCACAAAGATGCAAGGTTTTGGGAATCATCTGGATTTGGGTATCATCTGAACCAGAAATCCCTGGCTATAGGTTCCATACACAAGATATTTTGAAAGTTACATGGTTTCATTAGAGCACTTTTGTGCCCATCTGAACAAGCAAAGACAAAACATTTCTTCTGCTCTGCACTTGACTTCAAGCAAATTGTTCTTATCCTATTATTTCTTGTACTCCTAATCAGACAATGAATTGATCTTGTTCATTAAATCACAAAACCTGTTCCAAATCACTGTTTCAATGCTCCATCACACTTACCATACACAAGATCTTCCACATGTTAGTATGGGACTTTGTATGCTCAAGTTTTAGCCATTACTACTTGTCCTATTGCTACACACCACTAAGAAGAGATCTTGGCCTCATCCATCTGTCTCCCACCTCCTTTTTGGTGTTTATAAACATTTCTCACATCCCCTCTCAGTCTTTTTTTCCCAGGCTGAATTGACCCAGGTTACTCAGCCTTTCCTTGTAAGGGAGATGCTCAGGGCCTTAATCATCTTTTGGCCCTCCACTGGACTCCTTCTAGGAGACCTCTGTATTTTTTGAAATGGGAAGTCCAGAATTGGACACAGTGGTCTGAACATGTCCTCACCAGGACAGAGTAGAGGGGTAGGATACCCTTTCTTGACCTGCTGGCCATGCTCTTTTTAATGCACCCCAGGATACAATTGGCCTGCTTGGCCAGAAAAACTCACTGTTAGCTCATGGCCAATCCACTGCCCACCAGGACCCCCCAGAACTTTCTCTGCAAAGCTCCTCTCCAGCAAGTCATCCACTAACCCATACTGATGGATGCGGTTATTCCTCACCAGGGGCAAGACTCTACACCTGCTCTTGTCAAATATCACTAGGTTCCTCTCTGCCCAAATCTCCAGTCTATCCAGGTCTTGTTGAAAGGTAGCACAGCCATCAGGTGTGTCAGACAATCCTCCCATCTTTGTATCATCAGCAACTTGCTGAGGGTAGACTCTACCCCTTCATCCAGATCGTTGATGAAGATGTTGAACAAAACTGGACCCAGAACTGACTCTTTGGGCAATACCTCTAGTTACAGGCCAGCTCTACACCATTCCATATCCATACTCTACACCATTGATGACAATCCTCCTAGCTCTGTTAGTCAGCTAGTTCTCAATCCACCTCAGCATTCACTCATTTATTCCACATTATCTAAGTTTCGTAACATGGATGTTGTGGCAGACATTGTCAAACACGTTCCTGAAGTCAAAGTACACAACATCCATTACTCTCCTCTCATCTCTTAACTGATGATGACATCATAGAAGGCTACAGGATTGATCAAATATGATTTCCACTTGATGAATCCATGTTGACTACTCCTGATTACCTTATTTAATTCCTATATCTTGGGGATAGCATCCAGAATAAGCTGTTTCATCACCATCTCTGGGACAGAGGCTGACTGGCCTGTAGTTTCTCAGCTCATCCTTCTTGCCCTTTTTGAAGGCTGGTGTGACATTGGCTGTCCTTCATTCTTCAGGCACCTCTCCCGTTTTCCATGACCTTCCAAAGATGATAGAGTGTGGTTTGGCAATCACTTCTGCCAGCTCTCTCAGCACTTGTGGCTGCATCCTATATGGGCCCTTGGATCTTTGTGCCTTGAGTTTGCCTATAGATAATCTCTGTCCGGATCTTCCTTGATCAAGAGGAAGTCTTCCTTTCCCCAGATTTTCTCCCTTTACAGGGTTTGGAATTCCTGAGGGGCAGTCTTGCACAAAAGGCTGAAGCAAAGAAGGCATTCAGTGACTGCCTTCTAATTGTCTTCTCTTACCAGAGCAGCCAACTTATTCTGCAACTGGCCCACATTTTTCCTAGTCTTCCTTTTACTGTCAATATACTTACTTAAATAAACCTTTCTTGCTGACTTTGACCTCCCTCACCAGATTTAATTCGAAGTGGGCCTTGGCCTTCCTTGTGGTATGCCCCGACAAATTTGTTATGTTCCTCCCATGTGGCCAGACCCTTCTTCCAGATTCCATTGGCTTTCTTCTTCTAATTGAGTTTTTCCGCTTCTTTGCTTATCCACGCGTGTCTCCTGACACCTTTGCTTCATTTCTTGCTCTTAGGTATGCATCTATCTTGAGTTCGGAAGAAGCGGTGCTTCAGTGTCAACCAACTCTCTTGGACCCCTTTAGTATCTAGTGCTCTAAACCACAGCATACCTCCAAATGTACAAGTTGAAAAGGTCAACATTTGTTCTCCTGAACTCTAGGGTTGTAATTGTACTTACTGCGTTGTTTCTTCCATGCAGGATTCCACTATCTCATGGTTGCTACATCCAAGGCTGTCCTCAACATTCACATCCCCAACTAATCTTTTCTTATCAGCATTCCAGTCATGCATTTTAAAACTACTTATTAGTCTTTTCTGATACTTAAAATAATACAACAGTACCAAAATCAGATTTACATTGTAGTCAAATCTTTTTATGAAACAGTGGGAATTAAGAATTAATTACAAAGAGAATAATAAATTAGTATTAAATAGACACAGTATTAAAGAGAATTACTAATCAATTTAACATAAACTACAGCTAATTTGTAGTAGAATGAACAGCTGTCTTTCATAAAACCAGTCAGCAGGTCTTCATGATAACTTGTATCTGTCCTGCCAGGAAGTGAGTCTGGTGATTCTAATAGAGCATTATGAAGGAAGATGTGGAAATTATCAACAAATCACACTTGGACCATGGAACATATTTTTCTGTGAAGAAGCTTGCTATTTGGTGACATTACATGACACAACTCCTATACATAAGCATATATTTTCCAGGAAACCACTTGTGATCTGTGGCTCACAGGTGGAAAATAAACTGGAGTCCCTTGTGGTGATAGCTGTGACCTACACTGTCACCATGGTGTTTTCAAATACCTAGTGCAACAGATCCATTTAAAATTAAGTCCAGTCCTCTAGTGAGCAAAATTAGCTAAGTGAAAACAAGCTTTGCCAAGTCTGTGGCAAAGCTGAGCTGTTTCTTAAAGACAGCATTTTAAAATAAGAGGGTGCAAGAGGAGAACAAGCTCTGTACAGAAATCGTTGAGAAATGAGCTGTTATAACGTACTAAGTTCTCATGTATGTGGATTAGCAGATGCCTTGGGCTTTTTGACTTTGCGTAGACCTGTGGCTGATTATAACTGATAAACAAGAGAAAAGGATGATGGACTGCCTTCACATAGATCAAAGAAAGATACACTGAGGAATGGCAGGATTGATACAGGTATTGGAGCTGAATGTGAAATGGCAGCTGGAGACATATTAGTATAAATGGAGAATCTTGGACAGAGCAGTCCTGTGGCAAGAGTACTAAGGAAGGCTGATGTGAAGATATAGTAACAAATACTCAGAGGCCTGAGACAGGTGAGCAGGTCAAGCAGTGCGCACTGACCTGTGAAACCTGAACAGTAACATTGCATATAGGTTAAACACTATTGAGTCAACTCACAGAGACCAGTGACAAACAGATAAGCTTGCCAGTTTGTATTTATCTGTTCTGCAAAAACTTGACAGTATGTCTTCAAAATGCAGGCTACCACAAAGATATTCCTGGGTCCTACAGTGCAGAGTGTGAGCAAATAAATGATTCAGTAGCCTTCCAATGGCCTTCAAAAGGGACAAGATCTTTAGGAACCTATTTATCATGATTTCCTAAAAGGGTCCCGTGGCAGTTGAAAGTACCAGTGTTAAAAAACAGACAAAAAATGATTATTTAAAGTCTTAAATTGTATGCAGTATGAGAACTGGAAAAACTGTGAATGTCAACAGCTTTCAAAACAGTCAATGGAAAAAAAGTCATTTGCAAAAAAGTGAGAACA